GAACCGCTGAGCTAAATCCCTGGCCCTCTCAGTTATACTTTAAGCCTTATTTTTTTCAGAATCCCTGGAACATCATATATTGCTCTCATCTTTGTCCCCAGGCCACCATCACTTGTCTGCTCCTTTTAAGGCCACAAATTGATATCTGTATCTATATCTATATCTATATCTATATCTATATCTATATCTATGTCTATGTATTTCAATTTAGCTATCTCCAAATATCTCCAAAAATGAATGATTTTGTGAAGTCAAGCTGGCCCCCTCTCTGCCAAAGTGGTATTTACCACTCTAGGGTTCTTTTCAGCAAGAGAGAAATAATGTGACTTCAGCAGGGCCCCTCTCCAGACGGCTTGGCTACTGGCCAAAGAGTTGACTAGCTGAACTGTATCTTTCTGTTTCTTTCTCAACTGGAGCGGAGTCTCAGCCGAGGGCGCAGGATGTTGTATAATTTGGTTCACGTTGTTAGCCTCTCAAAATAATGAGGAGGAGGCTAGTGTAGCATTGCTCAGCCTGCTGCCTGTCATGGTGCTGGCTGCCTGAACTGTGCCTTCAACCAGGGTACTGTGTCTGTTGAAGTTGGCACCAGCCACTCCTCCAAACTTCTCTAGATTTGTATTGATTTCACTGGGGGACAACTCCTAAGAATTTGTTACAGGCTTTCAGTTAAATCTAAATTAAATTTTTCTTTTGAGATTTTCACAATGTCCCTTGAGATTAAAAACAGGTGTCCCTGGGGGGTGTTATGAAGCCAAAATTAGAACTTGCTGACTTGACCTGCACACAGGCTGGGAAGGGAGGGAGAATGTTGCTAGTCTCTCTCCCACTGAACAGTTTTGAGTGCCTTCTCATTTTAACAATATCAATAATTAGTATATTTTAGCCTAAGCTGCTATAGGGCCATAGAGAATTGCAGTGTGATGATATTTTCTTCTTTGGTATCTCTGTGTAGCAAGTTTTCCTGCCACCCATCGGGGAACAGACAAGGACAGTAGGATTTAGAGAGCAAAACTGTTGCTTGGGTCACTAAGAGTTGAGGAAACCAAGGTACACAGAGATTAAATGGTTTGTTCCCAAGTGATGATGAGACCGAAAAGTTCAGAAGACATCTGCTGAGGTCCCTAGATTGTAGGACTCCTTTTCTTCAAGCTTGAAGTGATCAGAATTTTTCTGCTTTGGGAATTGGATAAAGAAGTCTTAGAATTGAGTTTTAGGGAGGGAAGAATGATTTGACAAATATTTGTTTGGTACCAGCCATCGAATGTGCCAGGCACCCTTTAGGCAGAGGGTTAGTAGGTGCATGAGGGGGTAGAGCTTGGGGTTGGGGGTGGGGGCAGGGAGCGCTGGAGTTGCAACACGAATAAACAATTGCTGAAGTCTGCTTGGTGATTAAGCATTGATGTTGGTGTTGTATTATTTTGCAGGTAAAGATGAGCCCAGCAGCTACACATGTACAACTTGCAAACAGCCATTCACCAGTGCATGGTTTCTCTTGCAACACGCACAGAACACTCATGGATTAAGAATCTACTTAGAAAGCGAACACGGAAGTCCCCTGACCCCGCGGGTTGGTATCCCTTCAGGACTAGGTGCAGAATGTCCTTCCCAGCCACCTCTCCATGGGATTCATATTGCAGACAATAACCCCTTTAACCTGCTAAGAATACCAGGATCAGTATCGAGAGAGGCTTCCGGCCTGGCAGAAGGGCGCTTTCCACCCACTCCCCCCCTGTTTAGTCCACCACCGAGACATCACTTGGACCCCCACCGCATAGAGCGCCTGGGGGCGGAAGAGATGGCCCTGGCCACCCATCACCCGAGTGCCTTTGACAGGGTGCTGCGGTTGAATCCAATGGCTATGGAGCCTCCCGCCATGGATTTTTCTAGGAGACTTAGAGAGCTGGCAGGGAACACGTCTAGCCCACCGCTGTCCCCAGGCCGGCCCAGCCCTATGCAAAGGTTACTGCAACCATTCCAGCCAGGTAGCAAGCCGCCCTTCCTGGCGACGCCCCCCCTCCCTCCTCTGCAATCCGCCCCTCCTCCCTCCCAGCCCCCGGTCAAGTCCAAGTCATGCGAGTTCTGCGGCAAGACGTTCAAATTTCAGAGCAACCTGGTGGTGCACCGGCGCAGCCACACGGGCGAGAAGCCCTACAAGTGCAACCTGTGCGACCACGCGTGCACGCAGGCGAGCAAGCTGAAGCGCCACATGAAGACGCACATGCACAAGTCATCCCCCATGACAGTCAAGTCCGACGATGGCCTCTCCACCGCCAGCTCCCCGGAACCCGGCACCAGCGACCTGGTGGGCAGCGCGAGCAGTGCGCTCAAGTCCGTGGTGGCCAAGTTCAAGAGCGAGAACGACCCCAACCTGATCCCGGAGAACGGGGACGAGGAGGAAGAGGAGGACGACGAGGAAGAGGAAGAAGAGGAGGAAGAGGAGGAGGAGGAGCTGACAGAGAGTGAGAGGGTGGACTACGGCTTCGGGCTCAGCCTGGAGGCTGCGCGCCACCACGAGAACAGCTCTCGGGGTGCGGTGGTAGGCGTGGGCGACGAGGGCCGCGCCCTGCCCGACGTCATGCAGGGCATGGTGCTCAGCTCCATGCAGCACTTCAGCGAGGCCTTCCACCAGGTCCTGGGCGAGAAGCATAAGCGGGGCCACCTGGCTGAGGCCGAGGGCCACAGGGACACTTGCGACGAAGACTCGGTGGCGGGCGAGTCGGACCGCATAGACGATGGCACTGTTAACGGCCGTGGGTGCTCCCCGGGCGAGTCGGCCTCGGGAGGCCTGTCCAAAAAGCTGCTGCTGGGCAGCCCCAGCTCGCTGAGTCCCTTCTCCAAGCGCATCAAGCTGGAGAAGGAGTTCGACCTGCCCCCGGCCGCGATGCCCAACACGGAGAACGTGTACTCGCAGTGGCTCGCCGGCTACGCGGCCTCCAGGCAGCTCAAAGATCCTTTCCTTAGCTTCGGAGACTCGAGACAATCGCCTTTTGCCTCCTCGTCGGAGCACTCCTCGGAGAACGGGAGCTTGCGCTTCTCCACGCCCCCCGGGGAGCTGGACGGAGGGATCTCGGGGCGCAGCGGCACGGGAAGTGGAGGGAGCACGCCCCATATTAGTGGTCCGGGCCCGGGCAGGCCCAGCTCAAAAGAGGGCAGACGCAGCGACACTTGTGAGTACTGTGGGAAAGTCTTCAAGAACTGTAGCAATCTCACTGTCCACAGGAGAAGCCACACGGGCGAAAGGCCTTATAAATGCGAGCTGTGCAACTATGCCTGTGCCCAGAGTAGCAAGCTCACCAGGCACATGAAAACGCATGGCCAGGTGGGGAAGGACGTTTACAAATGTGAAATTTGTAAGATGCCTTTTAGCGTGTACAGTACCCTGGAGAAACACATGAAAAAATGGCACAGTGATCGAGTGTTGAATAATGATATAAAAACTGAATAGAGGTATATTAATACCCCTCCCTCACTCCCACCTGACACCTTCCTTCTCACCACCCTTCCTCCCCAGGGCCCTCCAGCCCCACTCCCTGTAGGATTTTTTTCTAGTCCCATGTGATTTAAACAAACAAAAGACAAACAAACAGAAGTAATGGAAGCTAAGACTATGAGAGTGCTTGTCACCAGCACACCTGTTTTTTTCTTTCTTTTTCTTTTTTCTTTTTCTTTTCTTTTTATTTTGAAAAATTTTTTTCCTTTATGTTCTCACCGTTTGAATGCATGATCTGTATGGGGCAATACTATTGCATTTTACGCAAACTTTGAGCCTTTCTCTTGTGCAATAATTTACATGTTGTGTATGTTTTTTTGAAAACTTAGACAGCATGTATGGTATATTATGGCTATTTTAAATTGTCCCTAATTCGTTGCTGAGCAAACATGAGCAAACATGTTGCTGTTTCCAGTTCCGTTCTGAGAGAAAAAGAGAGAGAGAGAGAAAAAAAGACCATGCTGCATACATTCTGTAATACATATCATGTACAGTTTTTTTTTTTTTTAATAATGTGAGGAGGTAGAACAGTCTTTGGGTTAACCCTCTAAAGACAGAATACACAGCACTGAAAAAAAAAAAAAACTATGAGCTAAATGTCTGTCTCTAAAGGGTTAAATGTATCAATTGGAGAGGAAAGAAAAGAAGGCCTTGAATTGACAAATTAACAGAAAAACAGAACAAGATTATTCTATCATTTGGTTTTAAAATATGAGTGCCTTGGATCTGTTAAAACCACAATGATGGTTCTTTCTACTTGTTATAAACTCGTAGCTTAATTCAGCATTGGGTGAGGTGATAAACCTTAGGACCTAGCATATAATTCTATATTGTATTTCTCACAACAACGGCTACCTAAAAATATGACCCATTATGTCCTAGTTAATCATCATTTTCCCTTTAGTTTAACTTTGTGAACAAAAACTGATTATACCAGTATAAAATCTACTTTGCTCCTAATGAGAGCTTAAAAGAAATGGGCTGTTTTGCCCAGTTTTATTTTTTTTAAACAATGATGAAATTGAATGTGTGATGTGCAAAAGCCCTGGAACATGATTAAATACATTAGTAAAATGTTCATTTTATGAAGATACTTGTTTTAAAAGATGTCTTAAAAATTCTGATATCAAAAGAAATAGATCCAGATCCACTTGGTTGTCAAATGGACAATCAAATGATAAACTTAAGACCTTGTATGCCATATTAAAAAGAAGAGGCTGACAATAAGGTTTAACAGAGGGGAACAGAGGATAAAGTGATTTTTTAGCACAACGTGGTACAATTTGCCATTTTAAACTAGAACAGGTGTATAAGCTAATATTGATACAATGATGATTAACTATGAATTCTTAAGACTTGCGTTTAAATGTGACATTCTTAAAAAACGAAGAGAAAGAATTTTAAGAGTAGCAGTATATATGTCTGTGCTCCCTAAAAGTTGTACTTCATTTCTTTTCCATACACTGTGTGCTATTTGTGTTAACATGGAAGAGGATTCATTGTTTTATTTTATTTTTTTAATTTTTTCTTTTTTTATTAAGCTAGCATCTGCCCCAGTTGGTGTTCAAATAGCACTTGACTCTGCCTGTGATACCTGTATCTTTTCTCTAATCAGAGATACAGAGGTTGAGTATAAAATAAACCTGCTCAGATAGGACAATTAAGTGCACTGTACAATTTTCCCAGTTTACAGGTCTATACTTAAGGGAAAAGTTGCAAGAATGCTGAAAAAAAAAAAAATTGAACACAATCTCATTGATGAGCATTTAAAAAAAAAAAACAAAAAAACTTTGCCAGCCATTTACTTGACTAATGAGCTTACTTCCTTGGACGCAACACTGCAAGCGCTGTGAATGGAAACAGAATACATTTAACATAGAAATGAATGATTGCTTTCGCTTCTACAGTGCAAGGATTTTTTTTGTACAAAACTTTTTTAAATATAAATGTTAAGAAAAAATTTTTTAAAAAACACTTCATTATGTTTAGGGGGGAACTGCATTTTAGGGTTCCATTGTCTTGGTGGTGTTACAAGACTTGTTATCCATTTAAAAATGGTAGTGAAAATTCTATGCCTTGGATTACACACCGCTCTTCAGGTTGTAAAAAAAAATACATTGGGGAAAGGTTTAAGATTATATAGTACTTAAATATAGGAAAATGCACACTCATGTTGATTCCTATGCTAAAACACATTTATGGTCTTTTTTCTGTATTTCTAGAATGGTATTTGAATTAAATGTTCATCTAGTGTTAGGCATTATAGTATTTATATTGAAGCTTGTATTTTTAACTGTTGCTTGTTCTCTTAAAAGGTATCAATGTACCTTTTTTGGTAGTGGAAATAAAAAAAGACAGGCTGCCACAGTATATTTTTTTAATTTGGCAGGATAATATAGTGCAAATTATTTGTATGCTTCAAAAAAAAAAAAGAGAAACAAAAAAAAGTGTGACATTGTACAGATGAGAAGCCATATAATGGCGGTTTGGGGGAACCTGCTAGAATGTCACACGGACGGCTGTCATAAGGGTTGTACATATCCTTTTTTGTTCTTTTTTCCTGCTGCCATACTGTATGCAGTACTGCAAGCTAATAACGTTGGTTTGTTATGTAGTGTGCTTTTTGTCCCTTTCCTTCTATCACCTTACATTCCAGCATCTTACCTTCATATGCAGTAAAAGAAAGAAAGAAAAAAGAAAAGAAAAGAAAAAAAAAAACAATGTTTTGCAGTTTTTTTTCATTGCCAAAAACTAAATGGTGCTTTATATTTAGATTGGAAAGAATTTCATATGCAAAGCATATTAAAGAGAAAGCCCGCTTTAGTCAATACTTTTTTGTAAATGGCAATGAAGAATATTTTGTTATTGGCCTTTTCTATTCCTGTAATGAAAGCTGTTTGTCGTAACTTGAAATTTTATCTTTTACTATGGGAGTCACTATTTATTATTGCTTGTGCCCTGTTCAAAACAGAGGCACTTAATTTGATCTTTTATTTTTCTTTGTTTTTATTTTTTTTATTTGGATGACCAAAGGTCATTACAACCTGGCTTTTTATTGTATTTGTTTCTGGTCTTTGTTAAGTTCTATTGGAAAAACCACTGTCTGTGTTTTTTTGGCAGTTGTCTGCATTAACCTGTTCATACACCCATTTTGTCCCTTTATTGAAAAAAATAAAAAAATTAAAGTACACAATGTAAGCTTCTTGTGTCCTCATTTGACACACTCTGTAAATTACTTTCAAGAAAATAACAGGTTTTAAGAGAAGGCCAGTCAGTCTTTTTCAGGATTATTTCTATGGGCATTTTGATGCGTGTATTATACCCTAAAGGAACATAAAGTACTTATTAAAATAGACATATCTCAAACCATGGACATGGTTTTTAGGCTTTACAGTTCTAGAATAATTTCCAAGAAATGGAAGGTGTTTCCAGTCTGATGTTAAAAACTTGCTCCATCTCTTAGGAGAAATCCATTCTGATATAAGTGGTAAACTTGCTGGTAATAGCATCTCAAACTTTTATTTCCTTTGGATTTTTTGCTGTTCTTGTTGTCTAAAAGTTCTCTTCTATTCTGTCATCACTGCCCTAGCTTAGAACATAAGGTAAAAAGGTTTTTCTTTTTTAATCAGCTTTTAGTTTCTACATAACAGTCTGTCCTCATAACAAAAATGACCCCACCCCTCAAACCTAAAAACCGAGAAACAAAGGCATCAGCTTAAAAAATAATGAAAAAGGAAGGAAAAAAAAAAGAGAGAGAGAGAGAGAGAAAGAAAGCAGTAAGTAGGGGTAGCCAGACACAGCCAAATCTCTGGGATCAGCTACTTCTTTCCTGAGGTGTGCAGTAGCTTGCCTTATGGTTCTGAGAGCCTATGGACTGTAGATGCCACAGACTGTTCTAGGTGTTTTTATAGGTACCTGGCTGACAGCAAGAGAGGATGGGGGTACCCTTCAGTTATATTTTGAACAACCAACAGATTTATGACATGTCTTTGAAAAACAAGTTAGGTCTATTTAAAAAACAACAACAACAACAACAAAACCCTCCTTGGAAATCTGTGTTGTCGGTTTCTCAAATACTGCATGTTGCAGCATCGATTTGCTTGATTAACACTCATGCCTCTGTGATATTGTCTCCCTGTCCCCAGTGTAGACGACTGGATATAACATTGTTCTTATTTTTGTAAAAACCCAAACCAAAGCTGTTCTGTTGTCTTCTTGTGGTAGCATTTTTGTCGCTCAGTTCTTAGGCACTAGTGCCAGTGAGGTGGTCTTTTCATGCAATACCTTTTATTGGAGGCAAGAAGAGTTTTACCATTTTAAAGTATAGAGAAAGTAGGTATTTTTAAAAGGAGAATATGGTGGGAAACAGGGATCCACTGAGGACAGTGGAGAATGCTGCACAGGAGCTGAGCTGGCGTAGGGCTGGGGTACCTTGGAGAACTTGATGTTTGTCAGGGAACTGAGAAAAGTGTGGTTTAGATTAGACGACTCCAAAACAGAATCCAAAATGCTGTTCAGACAGATAGTAACAGTCCCCGGTGCCAAGTTGGTTTTGGATGTGGTAATTTCTGCTCTACCATATTAAATGTCCATAAAACTTCTGCGTGTCCCTATTGCTCTTTTATTAGGAGGTCTGAGTACAGCTGTGTAGGTTTTATATACAGTATTCATTTTAATTTCTCAGTATATGATGCTATTAGTGTAATTAGATTTTGCATCCTGATAGACAGAATTAATGATGGCTATGGTATTCTTGTATGTTCAGATTTCTTAAATCAAACAGAACAGGGAGGGGGAGAACAGCTGATGATAAATCACAGATTATGTTTCATTTATGTGGTCCCAAAGTTAAATAAATTTATTGGGAGACAGATTCTTCAGTTTACTTTGTCTCCTGACTTCTGATAAAATATTATTTCTGAAGCTGAGTGAGCAATAAGAGCATGAAAACAGCCAATAAGAATATAATTTATAAGTAATATTTTGTATCCGGAATCCTAAAATTTAAAACCTTACTATAAAATAACATTTTTAAAAGTCCCACAGAATGAAGAAATCCTATTTTAAAAATAAGAAAATACTAAGAACATTACTATCTCTCAGATTTCTCTGTTGTTTTAGTAACATTCTTGAGGTGCTGGTGGAATTTTCTCTATATATCTGAACTCCTGACAAGATGTTCCTTTGGATTTTTATTTTGAAGTTGTCATTAAAAGGAATATAGCAAATACTATTCTCACAGATTTAAATCCAGAAATTTCTCCAGTACATATACAGTACTACCTCCTTCCTGAGATCATTTGCTATCCTCTTGTTGTTTAGGATCTACAAAAGGACTGAAACCAACACATTCTAAAGGTTGCTAAGAAATGGGGTGAACATGTTCATCATGTGTACAGCCATGGCAGAAAGTGTGAAGTAGCTGAGTTTTTCCCAGGGTACTCTGTGAATAGAACTGTTTCTTTAAATACTATTTGTTGTGTATGCAGTAAGTCCATTTTGTACATCTTCATAATGCTTGGAGTAGTGGAGGGAGCAGTGCACTAGATACCATTTCAACTGGAGAAATAAGGAAATGAAATGGTTATTCACAGACACTAAAAGTTTGCTGAAACATACTGGGATTATTTGGGGCCATTCTGAAAAGGAATTAGAAGTCCCAGGGCCCATCTTGTTCTGTTTCTACTACTTTACTCAGAGAGTAAGGGGAGAAATGCTGGGTTTTTCTAACCTCCTCCTTAAACACACATACATGCATGCGCGTGTGTGCACTCCCGTGCAGACACATACACACACACACACAGGACTGCTGATGACCATTGTAATTGTGTATTCCTCAGTATAAATGTCACTCCATTGTCCCTGGCCTCGTGTGTTCAAGAATGTATCCATCCCATTCTTTTTTTAAAAGGCAATTTCTCTTAAAAAAAAAAAAAAAAAAAAAAAAAAAAGGATGGGATTGGCAGTGTTCTTTAAACTTGCATTAAAAAACTTTTTAAAAAGACTACTAACTTTTAAAAGGTGTGAGCCTCTTAGCAAATTTTCCTAAGTGTCTTCTGAGGCCTTACAGCTTTACCAGTAGAGAAAACATGAACTCAGTTTTAGAGGAGTGGATACTAGAATACAGAGATGGGTCTTTTTCCTCCAGGGCCGCTACAGTGGCAAGTTGTAGACATGGGCGTTTTTGTTTGCCAGCGACCCCTTACTCCATATCTTGTTTATTACAGCGCATGGCCAGGGGATCCACCTTCAGGAGGACGGGCCTGTTTGTCTCTCTCTCTCTTTCCTAGTGTCACCTGTGGTCATGGGATGCAATTAATTCCTCCCTGCTAAATGGAAAGGAAATGAACAAGGTTCATATGGGATTATTGTACTTTAGTTTCTAAACTTGAACACGACTAAGTGGTTGATCCAAATACTATTTTTCCTTTCTGTAACATGGCAAATCTACGTAAAGGAAGTGCGTATTTCTAACGGGTCTTTCATAAAGATAGCAGAAAAGGCAAGTTAAGCAATTTCCCCCCCTAAGTTTCTTCTAAAGCAGGAGCACCCAGATCCACCAAGGGCCCGTATTTGTCTTTTAGTGCTTTAGCTATCAGCAGCAGATCAGACCAAGGGGTTTAACAGGGGTATCAGCTAACTGGGCCGCATCGACAGTGACTAGTGCTGGACTGAGAGTGGGAGTCCCAGAGCCCACCTGGACACAGCAGGCCCTCAGCCCAGGTCTTCTCTGCTCAAAGGGGTATGCATGAGAGCAGCTGAGCTCCAGACCCCAGGCCTCCTGCAGCGCCGAGGCAGGGCAGCGGAGGCCCCAGGCCCCTGATTCGGGTCGCCATGGCAACGAGGCCTGGAATGCCACAGTGGTAGCCTTCCTCGCACATCCGGACTCCCGGTTCTGCTGCTTCGAGTCAATGTTCACAGCAAGGGAGGAACCTGATGAAAATAACCACTCCCTTCTTCCCTTTACCAGTGCCTTCCCCCCCCCCCCCCGACAAAAAAGAATAAAGAAAGAGAAAGAAAAAGAAAAAAGAAAAAGAAAGAAAAGAGGAAAACTGCATGTTTGAAAGAAACTACAGGCAGTTTTGGTGCAATTTGAGAGCAACTATTTTGGGTTCTGGTTTTCTCTTCAGAGATTTGTTCGCCTCTTGTAAATCGTTGGCTGCTTTGACGTTGAACTTGATGACATTTCATGTTTTCGTTGTGCTGCTTTCACATCAATTTTTTTTGTTTCTTTATAATTTTATTATTATTTTAAGAAAACGACCCCCTCCCTATCCCCTCCCCTGCTCTCCTCAACCAAAGGACTGTTTCCTACTAAGTTTTCTTAGTCATAAGGGAAAGTGTTTCCTTCCAGGTGTGCCCCTGAGTTTAGTAGGACTGTGATATGACTGGGTGGGGGGACTCTGGGTCCTTTGGGAGATGGAGGGGAGGAGGGTATGGGAAAGTCACTCAAAGCTCAGGCATCTGGGGAGGGGCAATAGCGTTGGAAATCATGCTTAAGATACCAGTGGCTCAACCTGTGGTTGATTTAAATCATAATTTAAAATGCTAGTGGAAGAACAGAAAATCACTGGGCCAAGTCACACCTGTACTTTTTTTTCCCCCTCCTCTGTCTCCAACCTCTCTCTAGGTTCTTCACACACCCCCATTCGGCGTAGTACCCAGAGAGCTCAAGATGTGTGGCAGTTTTCGGATGGAAGCTCGAGAGCCCTTAAGTTCTGAGAAAATTTGAAGCCCCCAGGGGCCGGGTGGACACGAGCCGCCTAGCCGACGTCAGCGTGGTCTGTCATCCTGCTAGTTTGTGATGTTTTCTGACAGTAGCCTCCAAGAAGCCGTTGTGCGAAGACAGAGTCCTGCGGAGTCCTTCCAGCCTGGGCCTGCAGTGCCATTTTATTTATATTTTTTAATAAAAAGTAAAAACAAAAAAACAGACCCACATTGGAACAGTGAATCAGTCCCATATAGAGGGCCTGTGGACCATCGCTGTCCTCAGCTGTGTCCAGCCCTTTTTGAAACCAGCCAACCTAAGTACCCGTATTGTGGAAATGAGCATGAGTCCCCAACCCCTTGTTTCTATACATTCTATGTTGTCTTTTAAAAAGTGTGCTTAACATTGACACAATAAATGTTGGAGCTTTAGGTGGTGTTTGCTTGTTCTTTAATTTTTAACGCTCATGAGACAATGCAGGTCCTTATGACTTAGTATTTCTATAACAGTTTCCTGTAGACACCCATCAGGTGGGTAGGAGGAACAGATTCAAGGAATGAGTAAGAAGATGTAGGAGGGGAAATTGATTATCACTGTCAGATGGCATACATTTTCAAAGAAAGTCAGAATGCAAAACTTGGGAATAAATCATAGCAATATCATACTTAACATCATACTTAGTAGGAGTATTGCTGTTTATTAATGCTGAAGTTTTCCTGTCTGACTTAACGATTTGCATATCATTAAATAATGCATAATATGGCATGCTGAATCCTGCTTCTCAAATATATGTTTTTGGTGGCTACCTTGCAGGATTTGAATTTGTCTTTTAATTTAACTCAAGAAAGAAACTGTCACTGGGTGTATGTTACATCCTAAGAAGCTGATAGCATCAATAGTTGTTTATTAAATATTCTATTTTTAGGATCCTAAACCTTCAGCAAATATAACAATGCAAACAAATAACAAACAGACAAACATAAAACTTTAGTACTTCCATCAGGAAATCTAAAGCAGATTTTATTAGGGGAAAAATTATAGGAGGAAAGAGGGTCTTATTGGAATAGACCATTGTAGTCATAGTGATGCCTCATTCCTTAGGAATTAATGACACAAATAAATGATATGTACAAATATGTGATAAAAATTCCTTCTGGCCCAATTAATTTGCCAAGAAATGTTCTCAATTTGGTGTTTTCTACTGCCTGGAGATCTAAAAAAGAGTTAGACACAATTTAGCATGTTAAAATAGGTTTATAAATAATAGAACGAAGACACTATTGTAGATTTACATATTGGCTGTGAACATAAGTGGGGAATATCTTCACTCACCCTCTGACTAGATTATTTTACCTAGTGACAGCAAAATGATTGGCATTGGATTCTTTCCTGCTTCTTCATCAAGAATACCTTGTACTTTATGGGACATTTTCACATGCGTTGTTTCTTCTGATCTTCACCGGGACAGATCTCACAATGTCCACTGCATGAACAAGAAGACCAAGGCTCACCAAGGTTATGGGGTTTGCAGGAGGCCACATCAGTAAGAGTGGGAGTGGAGAAGCTGGGTTTTCCCTATTCTGGAGAATTAGCTGCATTTTGTCTAACTGATCAAAGGGAATGCTTCTCCTTACGGTGCTTCTCCCTTTGTTAGCACACAAGGCAGACACATTCACAGACCCACATGTGTGGTTTACACACATGGACACCAAGAAAGGCAACTGGCAAAAGTACTCGTACTTGTTTCTTCATATCAGTAGCTGTGTGCACTGCAGATGGGAGCAACCATGCCTCCTTGGCACATGTGTGTGGCTTTTCCATTACATATAAAGAACCCCGAGGTACACATTTCATTAAGTTTTTGAGAATTCCTAGGGGAACATGGGACTACCAGACAAGAAGTTACTTCACCAAAAAATTTTCTTTCTGCCCCATGCTCTTCCTCTGTGTTGTTGAGACCTAAGGCCATGAGGGATTTCATAATAGCATCCTATGCACTCCGCTCCTTGCTGATACCTAGAAAAAGTGGTACCAATTTCAAAGGGAGACCTATCCAGGGAGAACAATCATGGTTTGGAGACACCTTCAGCCTTTGGAAGCTGCACTTGGTATTTTCTGTGTTTTTACCCCACCTTTTATTTCTTCTCAGAGACAGTATCTAAATAGATGGATATATTTTGAAATAGTTTTTTCACTTTTTTTTGAATGGGAGGGAACAAAAGTAGATACATGTTACCCTTTTTTCCTTTTCCCTCATTGGAGAAGAAAGATCCTTCACTAAACACAAGCAAGCAATACACTTCGTGTCTTCCCTCATACTTTTTTAGTGGAAAGAAGATAAAAATTCATGTATGGGATTCCTTATGAAATGGTGTTATGCAAGCACTGGAACTTTTGAAACTCCACACAAGATTGATGATTTGGGAAATCATCTCTCTGTGCAGTATGTCAAGGTCATGGTTACCGAGACTGGTAGAAGCAGGGGAAGGGACTGACAAATCTGACTGAGGTCCTCACCATGCCCTCTCTCTAGGAGGAGCTTCAAATTGAAGGGAGATTAATTGGTTGCCTGGCATGCACTGAGCACAGATTAGAGGATGCAGCACTGTCTGCTGGGATGATGGGAACCAAATATGGGCATTGTTCTTATCCTCCCAGTCGTGGTCTAGGCGTATTAGTTTTGTTATCCGTCCAGATTGTCACACATAAAAATGGTCTGTAAGTCTTTGGGGGTTCATGGCAGCAGTGAGTGTCTCAGTCCCTGCAGCACCTCACACCTAGTCTGTTGGATCTTGAGACAGAATCATATCAAAATCCAGTGAGTTTAAAGAAAAATCTTAGAGAAAGATTTCTCAATTTTGAGGGAATTAGGATTCTACGGAGGGCTAGTTGAGGGACCAAACTGTGGCAGAATATTTGCTGAGCACGTTTGCTTCGAGTTTTCAAGAGCATTTGGATTAGCACCAACCCCTTCAAGTGCTAAAGAATCTCCTTCAGGTTTTATGCTTATTTATTTATTTATTTGTTTATGTTAGTAGTGATGTCGATGTCGAAGGAGACAATTATTTATATAGGCTCTAAACATCTAAGTATTAATATTTGTTTCTATAAAAAATTCCTATTTTCCTAAGCAGTATCCTGAATGTAGTGTAAGTGATTAATAGAATTGGAGTATTTTGTAGGCTGTTGCTTCTCTAAGGGTGTAATGTTAAAGAAATAGATTTGAGGAGGGCCAGAAACTTAGCTCGGTGGGACCATGCTTATCTTGCAATCTAAGAAAAAAGAAAGAAAGAAAGAAAGAAAGAAAGAAAGAAAGAAAAAAGAAATAGACTTGAGGAATTGTGAGTCTGGTAGAAGTTCAGAAAAAAAAACATATTACTAGTACACCATCCTTCTTCAAGAATTCATTTTGTCTGAGGGCAATATGAACATCATAATCCTTTCCTTTGACTCCCTGGTGGAGATGCACTCTTTAGCTAATACATACTTTGGGGTTACATCAAACCACAGGACTCACTTCCAGCAAAATCTAGGAGGACTGATCATTTTTCTTCCTATCTTAGTGAAAATAAGATACCTTATAGCTAATCATGTTACCTTTCCACTTGTGTATAGTTTTTAAAATGTTCCCAGGAAATACTTAAATATTATAGAGCAATTTCATATACATGATAGTCAATTTTCTTCGTAATTCTATAAATTAGGTAGGAGAAGAATAGACTAAATTGAAGAGACCCACAGCAATCATTCAATGTATAGATTAGGCATCAAAAGTCCAAAGATGAAGGTGGTACCTGGATCGCATGGTATGGGGCAAGAGTCAAGCAGAAACCACATATTTCTTTAGTGACTGAGCCGTAACTGGAATCCAGATCTCTTAGCTGCTGTCAAAAGGAACTGAGGTGGTAAATCTCTGCTTGGTGAACCACTAGATTCAGAAGCCAGAATAGCAGAAAAGTGTGCATCTTAGAAATATTTAGGAACAAAATCAAAGCTTTGTTTGGTGGTGCCAGTCCTAGTAAGAGAGCAGGTTAATCTACCCTATAGTTCAAGGACTTCTAAGTAGTATCCTTATGACAGGGGACACTTAGGTCACTACCTGGAACGATTCTTCTTTAATTCACTTCTCCAATGATAGAAATAAACTTATGGACCAAGAATTGCTGAGAGAAGGCTTTTAAAGTTAAAAGGGCATAAAAAAAAGAGCTACTCATCAAACCAAATTCATCTCAAATGACTTAAATAGATCTCACAATCTGTTCCATTCTCTAGTCGGGATTTAAGAGAAACACCCACTTAATTTGAATTTTGAGGCCACATCATATCCTGCGAGGGAATCCAAAGAGCCAATAACATGACCTGAATCTTGTTACTGGGCTATTTAATTTTGAGTTCAAAGGTAAGGAAATAGCAATGAACTAAAGGGAGAGTTGATGGGAATTGCCCCTAGTTGTGAAATACGAGGATCATTGCACTTACTGTGCTATTTATGCCTCACATTTTCTCTGTGCATGATGAAACCATCATCTTCCTCTGGAATGGGGACTCCTGCCTGGCTCCCTTTAGAGATGTATGTGTGCTCCCTTGCCCCTTCTTTACCACGTGCAGCTCTTCTGCTGTCACTTCTCTTCTTGCTGGCCACCCTTTGATTCACATTTCCCTCTTGGAGAGGACATGGGTGGACTTTGAATATCTTGGGCTGATGGGGCTGCAGTTGCTCTGCGAAGTAGCTGTTTAGAGCCTGCATGGGCCAAGCCAGTGCTGGAATTGGAGCCACACAGCGGGCAGCTCACTGAACAGCTAGAAACAGATGTCCCTGTTGAGGATGGTCTGAGAGGGTGTATTCTGCCTGTTTTGTTCTTATTCCCCTGGTGGCTGTTCCTTGAATTTCCTTAGACAGTAATGCAAACAAGCTTCTCCTGCTGCCATTCGGTCCCTTCTAACCATCTCTCCCTGCTGGTTTGTGCTCTCATTTCAGATAAGGAGAAGTCAACCAGAGGTACCTAAGTACCTGAGCCTGCCTTCCTTCCTTCCTTCCTTCCTTCCTTCCTTCCTTCCTTCCTTCCTTCCTTCCTTCCAGCTCTGTGATTTGCAGAGAGTCACTCATGCCTTTTTTTCAGAGTGGCTGATTTTTTGCCTGTTGCTTGCTTTGCCACACAAAGGGAGGGAACCAAGATGTAAATAGTTCTCTTCAGAGGCTCACCCAAAGCTCAGAACTAAGGTACACAAGAGATTTTCCTTTAAAGCGGTTCCCTTTGTGTGGATTTGCCTGCAGCCACTATCCCTTACTTGTGGCGCTCTTTTTAGTTTTAAGCTTCTCTCAGAGTATGATTTTCTTTTTCCTCTGACACAGGCTGATGTGCCAGGGGTGGCCTGCTGTGCTCTTTGGTCCACACTGATGAGTGAGGCTGGTCTCCAAGC